TGTGTTCTACAAACCACCAGCCGCCCCTGCTAATAATGAAAGTAATACATGTACCATTATCTTAAATTTTTCTAACTAGAAGCCACAGCACGAATATCTCGTCTATTTATTGTGCCCCGCATTTCCAAATTTCCGCCCGTTGCATTTTATGGACAGTTGGACTTTCCTTTCTCTTGTTAAAATATTAACTGCATCTCAATGCAAGACGTCTTCGCCCTCTAACTTCAACGTTCCCACTGCTGCAACTAATGGCGTTTGTAAACATTACATGTGTGCCACTTCAAAAACAGTTGGGTGACAAAATAATTACTAGTTATTGATTCTCTACATTTAATACGTTGAGACAAACGTCGATGGGTTTTAGCCTCAGTGCCGTATATAGTATCTGAAGATCATAATACGTGTATTTCGGGTGCATCTTTTTCCTCATATAGATCTACTCTAAGATTGTATGGTAAAGATTCTAAACTCTTTCCAATTTTTGATATATGTGAATGTTACGCTCGGTGCTACCATAGAAAATGTAAGACAGTAGTTGACATATTTTAATGATTATAATCTTTCAAAGCGGCCTCACTAAATTGTTTTCTTTCATAATTTGGGATGGGAGCTGTAAATTAGTTAGTGAGTTAGTGTAAGCTCGCGGAGCGCACCTTGTCCAAAAAATAGCCCATCTTTATTTTCACCAAAGATCCAGTGCTACATAAGACAAGACTAGATAAGATCCTGGCAGATTGGTTTGGTGTTTCACCAAGTACACGATACACTTATGTTTTTACACTTGCACAGAAGAACCTAATCATTGATTACACAAATTTTGAAATAAATGCCATAGCTCCTGCCCAAAATCCTAGTATGGGATCAGTGCAGCTGCACACTGGACGGTTCTGAAATTTCAAGTCGGGGAGAGTTTGAATCTGGTAGTAAAAATAAAAGTAGAGATGTCACTCTAGTAGCCTAACTTTCAACTGAATGCGAATATAACTTTCGTACTCAGTATGTCTCAAATGTTCTTGGAAAAGAATTTAATGAGATATTACTTTGGCTAATTTAATAAAATTCTTGAAAAAGAAAACATACCAAGGGAATGGAGAAAATGAAACATAATAACAGTACCTAAACAGGGAAATTTGAAAGACTAACAATTGGAGAGGAATATCGCTTACACCAGTACCTGGAAAACTATTTTGCCGTATTGTTTTTTTGTCGCGTACCGGAACAGCAATTGAGCGAGACTGAGAGAGGAACAGGCGGGATTTCGACCGGAGAGATCAATCAGAGACCAACTACATGCATTTGTTCTGAGAAACATTATAGTGCAAAGCAAATAAAGGAATGTCCCAATTATTTTGAGTTTTGTGAATTTTGAAAAAGCCTTTGACTTTGACTGCATAGACCGAAAGGCCCAGTGGAAAATTCTTGCAGTCTATGGCATCCCAACGAATATAATAAATTGTATAAGATCATATATACCAAAGCAAGCTGCTGTGTCCTAGTTGAAGGAGAAAACTATATTATATCTACACCCTTTGAAGAAAATATTGGGGTCAGTTAGACAGTGCTATAGGCCTATTATCACCTGTACTTTTGGGAATTGTGATCAATTTTATGAGACAGAACAAAGCTGGTGGACAAATGGCACACATTTAGGAGATTTAGATTTTGTCGATGACACCACAGTACATGAACTGAAACTAAATACAAATTAATTAGCAAGAGTTGAGGAAAAAGTTGGCCTTGTAATTTTAAAAAAAATGTTCCCAAAAAAGAAATATTGCGATCATCACCAGAAACTACTCTCATCACTCTTTATGGAGAACCTCTTGCAGAAATTAGTCAATGCAAGTACTCTGGCAGCATTATCTCCAAAACTGCTGACTGCCTTGACGACGTCAACGAAAAACTGAAGAAAAAAATGCTTAGATCGCTTTTGTAACATACAAAACCATAATGGAATAACCATAATTATTTTAATTGAAGACGAAACTTAGAATCGATAATTACTGTGTTTTGGCAAAGATATTGGTTTTGGCCCTACTGGCGCATGGTGCAGAGATATATGGAAAACAAACAAAACAATTCAACGGAAATTGAAAAGCTTCCAGACAAAATTTTAATGTTTATGAAGAATTCTATTTATACATGTAAAGTGGAATGGATCTATTACAAATTAAATAATGAAGTGCTGGACATAGCTGGAATTGAAGATATCAATACGACCATAAAAATGAGAAGATGAAATATTTAGGACATGTTCTAAGAATGCCGAAGACAAGATTGCTCTATCAGACATTGTGTTGGAGACCAACTGAAAAAAAGAAAAAGAGGTAGATCTAGGTCAACTGGAAGCTATAGACTGAAGGGACAAACAGGGATTGGGCAATCACCCAGGGTCTGGATGTGCCGAGATTGGAGAATGTGGCCACGAACAGGCAAGCGTGGTGTCGACTGCCCTCGGCCTTATGTACTTGACGGTACAGACAGGGAGAGAGTAGCGTAAGTGACTCAATAGGCCCTATGTAGGCCTAGTATGTTGTTTGCGAAAGGGAAAGTCTTGGGCCCGCCCTGGTAATATGGTATCACTTCATTCAAAAGTGATGTTTGGTAAACTCGGATAAATGGGAGACTACTATGTCACATTAGCTTTAAAAAAATAGAGAGAAGTTATCTCCAGTAGAAATGGCTTATGGTGTCTGCGCATCGCTCTTGCGCATGTCAGCCCTGCTTCCCCCGGCTGCGTCGTCTGACTCAAGCATCAAGGACCACTTTCTCTTTCACTCAAACGTTCCAGACAGCTTCTCCGGTAAGTACTCTGCTTTTTGTCATGAAATTGTAGTGGGATGATACAACATATGATGCCAAATTGTATTGGAACTATATAGTGTCTCCTGCTGTCTCGTGGTCAATTTGTGTTGTTGTAATTTTACAATGCCTTTTGGCTTTGGTGGAGTAAGGAGTAAAACCATTACTTTCAACACCACCACTTCCGTGTTTTCCTGCACCTGCAGCGATTGGAGGTAAAGCCGGCTCTCATCCTTCTGAACATCACGTATCAACCCAGTGTGGTTGTCAGTGTCACTTTTGAATCGACATTGCTTTTTAAAAGTAATTTTTGCAAAATCAGTACGATGGCTAGAACTTAGATCAAGATTTACTGAAGGAAAAAAAAAATCGATTCTAGCCTACTTTTTGTCTCTTTTACTTTGACTTCGTCACTTTGTGTATGATGAGCGTTGGTTGGTTGTTCTCTTTCTTTCCGATTCCTTGGGCTTGGGTCTTGTCTGTGTTTTAGTCTAGATCTAGTTTTAATTTTAGTCTGATTTATGAAAACGAATTGAATAATAGATCTATTGGTTCCTTGAGAGATGGCAAGAGTAATAGTAGCTTGGTTCATGTAGATGTAGATGTCTAGATCTAGATCTAGATTCTAGATCTATTGATATTGAGTAAAGTTAATAAAAGTAAAAGGACTTACACTTGTATCATAGATTCTATTTCTCTTTAAAGCAATTGGGAAGATTGAAGAATACTGGACCACTCGTATTATTGCGCAAGAATGGGGGGCGGAGGAAGGGATTAGTATGGAAGGGGGGGGGAGCGGGGGGTTTAGGGGGGTCTCCCCCCTGACAAACTGTTAATGAATAGATGTAGGCTACCGGTCTGAGATTCTTCATTGAGAGAGATTAAAAACTGGGGAAAATCATGAATTCCTAAGGTTGTCGAGACATAGGCAAAAGTAGTCCTAATCCACTGGTCCGGTATTCTTCAATCTTACCACCAAGCAATTTGTTGGCTGTCAACTGTCAGTCCTGTCAAAACAGCTGAGAAAATTGTTCAAACTAGATCTAGTAGATCTAGATCTAGATCTACATGATAATTATTGTGTAGCCTAAGTTTTCTTTGGCTCTGGCCAGCCTTAACAGTAAGCCTAACTGAAGTTTTTCATGGTACTGGTATATGTGTGTGTGTCCCACCCAGTAGCCTTGTCAAAAGTATGAAACTGTTTTGTTAACTCCAGAGTTATATAAACTCTTACTGATATAATGGTTACTCCTTTTTCTGGAAATTTTAATGAAAAGTATAAAGTAGATATATTATCGCTAGGTCTAAGTCTATTTCAGTATTACTGCGGGTATTCTTTTACTTTCCCTCATGGCCTCATGTCTCACACTTTACTACCAGTTGTCTATTTTCTATTAAATTTGATGCGCTGTACACAATGTATATCAACTTCATTTCAGTAGCAAATGAATAGATTTTGAAATATTTGTCGTTTGATTGTTCTTAATCGAGCTATATATATTACACTTTGCCTAACGCATAGTAATCAGGGGGTTTCAGGGAGGCCTGTCCCCTTGGGCTAAAAAAGGAATCTGGGGAGATACAGGGGCATGCCCCTTGTTTTAACCCATTTATTTGATATTTTACAGTTTGGTTTTGAAATTTTCTTGAAAATAATTTTTTTTGCATCAGTTTTGGTGGCTATATATTATATGTATGATCTGCAGCAAACAATACTGCAGTTTGGCCCCCGAAGCAGTGCATCTGTGTGCGGGAGTGAAAGTAAAAATTTACCCTTTTCGTCATCCTCTTTCTCCCTGGCACTACTCTGTGATATCTACTGAAAATAGTGCCGTCTGGTCGCCTGGTGTTGTTTGCTCCATCTTTCCTTCTATCAAACATGATCTATCGTCCTAATGTCTCCTCCTTTTTTGTGCATGTTACTCTCTTGTACCAGGTCTAATCTTCAGGGTGTTCTCGTGGTGTAGAGGTTTATGGTGTTTGCCTCTCATTCAATAGGTCCCGGCTTCGAAATCTGACAGCGACGGGAAAATCATCATGTTATCTTTTCACCTCCTTTCCTGCTCTTAAACCATGTTCTGTCATCTCCTTCGTCTCCATTTTCTGCCTCCACCCCCTCCCCCCTTCTTGTCTCCTTCTCTGTGTTCTTGACTCTTTCTGCGGCCTTTCTACTGCTACTCCTTGGCTCCTTCTTATTGCTGACTTTCAGCCTCACCCCTGATCTTTTGGTAGGTAAGATTTATCACCTAGCCCTCTCTCGTAAGGGTGACAAATCTCGAGGTCCGCGTGCAAGTTGCGCATGTTAAAGGTTCCTTGAAGTGCAAAATTGAAAATTAGTTCCTACTTAGTATGAAAATGTTTTAGAATGTGTCCCACACGCTCATATGACCTTATTATGCTGTTGCGAGCGCCGTAAAACACTCATTAAAGAAAAACCCCTTTAGTCTTCGGCACTTAACTTATTTGACATAATGTAATTGCGTTGCAAGTGTCATAAACTGTAAACGCTTTCTAAAACTTAAAACTTAAAACTTACTGACTGTATGCTGTTTGATTCCTTATGATAGTCTTAATGATGAAGTATCAATACTTCTGGCTTCTCTTCATTGTCTTTTTTCATTTTCCGTAATGGTTTTGCAATGTATTTGTAACATTTTTCCTTTCCTTCAGCTGCTACTCCATGAACACTTTTGTGCTCTTTTTAAGGGGGGAGGTCTATTAATTTTTTAGAGTGTAAGCAAGTTCTCTCTATACAAGTGCACATAACTACACCTCGTGTGTACAAGGAGAAGTTTTTGGTGTGTAGAACTGTATATTTTTTGTATAATGTATCTATGTTTCCTGTGATAATATTGTGTTTGTTGTCAAACTTAGCTCAGCTATAGTTTTACCTCTGTGAGTGTTGACTCAAATTAGGAGGAGAGTCTGAGTAAAAATGTATGTCATGCAATGGGGTTAATTTTAATTTACCACTTGAAATTTTTAAAATTAATTTTTTTTTTTTCAATAAACATGTGCTGAGGTCCGTTAAAACAACAAGTGTTTTGCTAGAGCTGTAATTCAAAAAGACTTTATCACAGCTTGCCAGGTATGTGAGAGGAGGGTAATTCATCAATGAGCCTTGAGTGCACTTGTCAGTTATGGTTCAGTGGTCACAGTCCTGTACCTGTCACTATCAGCTCAAGGTGTTACATGGTCAGCAGGCACAGTCCAGTGACAACTTAATGATTGACTAGGTGGAGGCAAGGTTAAGTCCATAGTAACATTAATGCTCTTGTCAGCATTAAGTTTACATTTCACTTAAACTTTAATGGGGTATCTTCTGCATGTGTCTGTGTGTGTGTGTGTGTGTGTGTGTGTGTGTGTGTGTGTGTGTGTGTTTTGCTTACCCCCTCCCCAAGGTTCTTTGTTGGTCCTAATACTTGCATGACCAGCGCTAGCTAATCGTCTGTTACTTTTTTTCCTGACATAGGCCTGTTACTATTGCCCATAAAGATAAAAGTTCAGTCAGTGCTTGCTCCCAGATTAGTGTATATTCTCAAAATTGCAGACACCAATCATAACTTCCTTATGTGCGAATACTGAATTCTTTTTGAAAGTTTTAGTGGTGTTAGCTGTTGAAAAGTGACATGGCTTGTCTTGTCAAGAGTGGTGACGACTTGGGGATTTAGAAAAATGTAAGATTTATCTGCTTCTTTTTTGTAGTGCTTGACTAATGGAATCATGCCAAAATTGTTAGAAAAGCACAATAATGTGATTACGTGTCATTCAACTTTTTAAAGTGACTGACATTCCTTAATTATCTCTGAAATTGTCCACTTGTACGTTGTTTTACTTTTGTTGTCCTATGTATACGGGGAATAGGTGCTGAGCAATTTTCTCTCACTCTGTTTGGAGTTCATTGTGGTTTCTTTTTGTTTGTTTGTTGAGTATAATATGACTGGACACTTAACCTGCATACTGCCCGTGTACTTCTGGCGATGTAGCAGCTGCTGCTCTTCAAATCTGGAATGCGAGACAGTGTTTTCTGTATGCAGCCTTATCGTCCTTTTGAGAAGAATAAGCGCCGGCGCGCATCCTCCTGTTCCTCACTTGATAAAACTCTGTCTGCCTAGTGTTAACTCCCCCACCCCAACCCAGCCACACATACGTACTTGAGGTATTTCCCCTCGTACGAGCAAAATTGGTGAGTACCTGTGGGCCGTACACAGGGAGGGTCCGAGGAACGAACTTTCCACTTCACGTCTGCTACACGCTGTGCTTGCGCGTGTGCCGGAATGTGTGAACTCGGGAGGGGGGCGTGGTGATCAGCTGGCCTGGGAGCCGCGCAGGCGGGGATTCGTCACTCTGGGGATTCTTTGCATTTCAGTCATAGTCAGAGCGATCGAACTTGGTCAGTCCTTGTATCTTGTGATCAGGGAAGTAACTGGGACTACTTGGAGCGACTTTAGTTGGTAAGCGATTTGTTTGTCAGTCATAATCGGTCGGTCTAAATTCTAAACCATGAATTCTCAGTTTAACGAGGAACTTGTGAATTGGTGCGTTGTTATTAAATTTTTGAAGATCTGATTACTTACCTGTTCATGACAAATATTATCAGTTTTGAATTTAAAGGGTGTGTGTCTGTTGTTTTTTGTTCTTATTGTTTTTTGGGGGGTGAGGGGTGTTCACATGACAAAATGTCGTTTGAATTATATTTTACTGTTACCAACTCTTGAGTGGTCTCTTGTTGTGTCCGTATACAATTGTTATTGCATTTGTATTGCCCATTTACGTGTGTAGTAGGCCCTCCTATGACCATTTTTTTTCTTAACCTAACAATGTAAATTAATCTCTTTCTGCTATTAGATGTAATGGGGGGAAAAGCACCAACACTCTATTACCCCCCCCCAACCCCCCCCAAAAAAAAAAACAAAAACAAAACAACAACAAACAAAAAAACAAACCCCAAAACAAACAACAATAACACAACAACAAAACAAGCCCAGCTAACTAAAACGA